GACAACCTAATATTATGTTGGATGCTTCCAATCAATGTTTGTTTGAAAGTGACGTTATCGGAGGGGTTGCGCTCTAGCCAGTCGCTCTCGGTAACCACATCGCTCTCGTCCGTTAGATACTACATTAATGAAGACGAAACGAAAAACGCTCCATACAAAGCTTAGTTGTTAGAACGCCAGAGGACATAACTCGAGAATCATCCCACTCTGAACTGTTGTGCTGACTTATACCTCAATTTTTTTTCATATTCCAAATGACGTTCACATTAGAGAACCTAGCATCCCTTTACATCTTTAATTAGGACTACCTTCTTTTCGGCACCGCTTTTAATCAAGTGTGCCTCGTTTTCATGATAGACGGATGAATCATGTAGTTCCGTATAACCATCTATCGTTTGATCGCCAGCTGCAATTTGCTAAAGAGTTCTACTTTCGTACGGACATAGTTCGAGTGTACTCACAGCGAGAACGAGCACAGAGCTCCCACACACTTTTTCTGTCGTTTCTTTCCAGAAAATATGTGTACATAGGTCCTTTACCCTGGAATTGTTGCACATGTTGAAGTTGTAACAAGAAGACTGTTTCTCAAATAAAAGGCAGGGCCGCTGCTAAGGGGTTAGCACATGCATACACTCCAAATTCCAGAAATGGGGAGCCCGTCCGCACTTCATTCAGTCGTGGCGGCAGCTGCACTTTTGAAGGGCTATTCCAGTTCCAGAACAGTTGCCACCTTGATTTCGTTTCGTGTAAGATAGGACAACACTTGTATCGAATGGAAATATCCCAAAAGCATCTTACACTGTTCAAGTGAGGTATATAGTCACGCCCACTCCATCGCTGGTATGTGGAGTGTAACGAGAGAGGACAACAAAATAATCCCACCTTGGAAAAAATCTTATCTCGGAACAGCATATGGAAAACTAACCATATATTGTGGAGCTGCATAATATAAGCCTGTCAAATCAAATCCCACGCGAACACGCGTTCTTTTTTTTATTGTGCCTACTTCCTACCACATTCGTCTATTATAGGAAGAACACTGACTTGTTGTAGATTAAACGGCAGGAACTCCACATGAGACAGCAAAACATTCCAAAAACCAATTGATAGACTACTTATAACTTTCGAGGCCAACTTCTATAAACTAGGTACAAATACCAAAAAGAATGATGAAGACATATCGGTTGAAAGTACATACATTATTATCAAGAACACGAGAAAGCTCCCGAGCATTCGCTTCAATGGCCCCAACAAGACGTTTATACCAGTAATGATCACCATCTTTTTCATCCACATAGGCGTAAAGAAAGTAAAAGCAATCACAGATAAGCGACCGAATAATATGTCTCGCATACTACATGTTACGCAACAGTTCTATTGCTGCAAGCAAAATATTCGAACAACCTGGAGGTGACTCACACTGTGACTTCAAGACACAAGGTACGCTCAAACACATCGAGGATGTATGATACTATCAGCCCCCCAGCTGTCAATGTGTCGTGGTCCCCCCCCCCCGCCAAAACTGCACGGGTCAGAGTACGGGGCCGTGGGAAAGTCGCAATTCCTTGCTACACCGCCCTCACGTTTATGCAACACCATCCGCGCGGCGCTGTCGCGTGCAGCTCTCTTGGCTTTTTGCCAAGTCCTGCAATTGTGCTTTGGAATACAAGTACAATGCAATTTCTTTATGCGGATAACATTTTAGGTGCTGCAAAATAAGAACTGAAGATGATGACGAGGGCTAGAACTCAAGAGCAACTAGGTGCTTCTGCAATATCCCTCAAGAGCCGAGCATTCCCACAGAACATGACAATAAAGACGGACAACATGACAATAAAACATGACAATACAAGCAAAACGCAATTTCCTAACATTTGGGGTTTTGCTCATGCTTCAAAGTCCGAATAGAAGGTGATGAAGATAACAAAGGCTAGAAACGAACAACAACGAATGTAGATAGTAAAATAAAACAAAATTGAAAAAAAACTAAGGAAACGCAATAAATTAAAAAATCGGCGGTGCGCATTTTTGCGATCCGGCTCGAATCCCGACTCTAGTGCTATAGAAATACTTCAAACTAACGAGTGGGACGTTTTTTATTTTTGATGTTTTGTGAATGCGCCGGCCTGCGAGGGCTTTTGCAGAAGCAGCACAGTTGCTCTTGAGTTCTAGCCCGTCATCTTTCAGTTCTTAATTGGCAGCACCGTAAAATGTTATCCGCATGAAGAATTGCGTTTTACTTGTATTCCAAAGCGCATTGCACGACTTGGCAATGTTAGTAAAAACGCGAGTTTGCAAAAACGGGCGGCGTAGCAAGGAATTACGAGCTTTCCCCGGTTCCGTACTCTTGACCCAGTGCAGTTTTGTACGGGGGGACCACGACACATCGACAGCTGGGGGCTGATAGTCTCATACACACCCCTCAATGTGTTTGAGCGTACCATGTGTCTTTTCAGCCCATACTTGGCAGATCTTACGTTCTCAATCATGGAATATAATCATGTTAAATGCAAAAGGTTCGCCTTAACAATCTAACCACAGTCTTATTTCTTTGTTGTTTGCTTGTTTGTTTGATTAGTTATCTCTCTATCTGCTCGGTCTTTCCGAAAATTCGCTCCTATTTGAAGAAGAATTTGGGGAATCAGGTCGAGTTAGTAGTTGGATTATGGTCGTTGAGGGCTTCAATGCCTGAAAAGCGCTAGAACATACCAGTTGTGGGCAAATCGCGGCAGCAAGGGGAGCGGAGCTAAACTTATAAACTTAAAAAGGGTTCCAAAGCGCTTCAGATACCAGAAAAAAAGTAGTTTAAGAGGTCGTCACCGGCCTGAGAAGTGCTAGCACACTCGTCATGGGCAGAAGTGCGGCGAGGTGGCGCGTCGCCAGACGCGAAATCACCGAAAACGTTTCCAGAGCGCTCCAGACACCGGCAAATAGGTGAGCAATAAGCCAGATAGGAGCTTAGTCTTGGAGTAAAGATGGACACACTCCATTGTGGGCAAAGCTGTGTCGAGGTGGACGAGGAGAAAGTCAGAAATTTAATGAATAATCGTCAAGAGAAGCATAGGCACCGGAGACAAGCGGAATGATGTGCACAAGGGGGTCAGTGAACCAAACCTGGGAGACGTCTTTGAGATGGGCGGGCCGTACTAGAGGTGAGCGGTGCTTGCAACGGAATCCAATAATTTGGACGTGAGTGAGTTTTAGGAAATTCTTCGGATAAGAGATTAAAGCGAGATTGAGTTTGTCTGTGGTGTGGTTAAGACGCGCCCTTAGGGGGCGGAGGGTGCCTCATCGAGCACGGTGTACCTATTGTTACTGAATTTTAGTGCATAGGCAGCACGACTGCTCAAGCGCACAGGTCGTCCAGGTTGATACCATTCGTCTCGCTGTTGACGTAGGCGTGACTTTTGCCGTGATACGGCTTGCTTCGTTAGCAAACGTGAGCGTCGCCGCCCTTCTTTTTCAGTTTGTTTTCGGATCTAATACCGGGCTTTCCTGGCTGCAACTGTGCAACATTGGTCATCGCTTACATACCCATTTCGTAGGCGTCGGTAATAGTGTTGCGTGTAGCAGATATGGATGCCACTTAAGGTGAGTTAACCATAATGACTAAATAAAAAAAGCCGAGTTTCAGTCGGTTCTGAAAGATATGGAAAGCGTTGTGTGGCGCAGAAGCTGCGACTCAGCCGCTCGAGCGCGGCCGTTAACACAGAAGGAGGTGCGCCGGCAGTGAGGCCCGCGAGCCGACTTAGTAATAGAAAAATTATTCATTCCTCGCGGGAAATAATGGACGATCTGCTGTCATACATAATCAATCTAGCAAGGGGTGGTGACGAACAGCTCAGATCGCTTCGCGATCAGCTCAGAAACAGATCTAAAAAAATACAGCCGAGAAGCTCTTATTGACTGTGGTAATCAGTCTTATTCACACATGCACAATCAATATAGGCAGACGGTAAAATGTGGTACATTCAATTTGAGGATATCAGATTTCTATATGGCTCAACTAGAAATATCTCTACCTCGGCAGGGTGGTGCGAGGGATCAGAGGTGCAATATCATGACTGCACTTCAAGCGTGAGCTCGATCTTCTGCGCGAACGCACAAGCCATCGCATTGGAAAAATTGCACAAGATGGTGAAAAAGATACAACTGTTGAGCTAAGTCGACAAAGTATGGCATCATAGAGTACTCGTCGGCAACGAACACGTACTGAAGTCGCAACAGCTATCAGACGTAAATACTCTAACGTAGCCAGCGAAAGGGACACAGGACATCGCTCCAGTTCTGTAGTCCAGTGTGCGAGTGCGCTACGAGAGGGTGAATCGACCTTAGCTAAGGAAGCTAGTTCTACTTCGGTCTGAACTGTGAGATCGTCTATCTCGGGGATGCCGCCGATAGGACTGAAAGGCGGAAATAAGAGAAATTTGCAGGAAGGAAAAAGCTTTCGATATTGGAGAAGGGGTAGTAGTGTTTCACAATGCAGGAAGCACGCAAAACGGATGGTGCGGGAGCAGTACTATCGTTTACG